TAACATAATAAGTAGGAAACCACACTTAATATGATAATCCTTTATTCCAGTTTATCATAAAATGCTATCAGCAATGAATTTTAATACTCAGACTTATGTTTTAATATGATTAGATCAGTGTATGTGCTTGGAATGATTCAATGCTCAATCTACATAGTGTAACGTGACATTATTCTGCTTTACTTATGTTAACATGTGAGGAATGTAGTTTCATATTTCTTGGTAGGGGGCCGTACAGATTTTGGGATTTCATTGAAGCCATGAACTGATTTAAGTTAGTCCAACACCGAGAACCTGGAAGGACTGGACAGACATTTCGTCACAATGTGGAACTCATCAGCAGTGCCTATCGACGACCCTTTAGGATTTCAATGAAGTTCAACAATCGCCATAACTCCATAATCACAGTTATCGTGCTTTCAATAGTAACTAACTTCGAAAGGAAATTTTCGAAGTTGGTCAATAGATTAGGCATCCGAGATTCGATCACCGCATCTCTGAGGAGTCCCATCCTAGGACGAAAAGGACGTACGGAGCTCCTTCCTTCTCAATGACGGTCTCACTCAGATCGGTTTAGAATTTCAATGAATTTCCATGCTGATTGTTTTGAGTGACAAATTAATCATCTTACCGAAAAACATCAACTAACCACTTGACCGTAGCCGTGTTATCCCATTTGACTTACAGGAATTCTATGTCATCTTTAGTCGTGTTTATTTTCTCAATGTGAAGGTGACCTGGTCATTTAAACCAAATAATTCTGATTTAAATGTATTGAGATTTTGTTCAAGTTACAGTTTATGATAAAATGAGGCCTGATTAACCGGTTTTGCTTATGATAGTTTTGGTTCGTGGTTTTGTCGGTATGGTAGAAAGAACAGCTACAAACTGGTTAAATATTTGACACCAAACCATTTAGTAAATTATATTAACTGTGTTTCAGTGGTTCGCTCAGTTAGAATAATGGAGAAAAGTGAAAATGCACATCTCTTTATAAGTCTATATGAGACAAAATTGTTTGTAATTGCCACTCATTCAAATTTGAATAAGACAGTGTGTGGTGTGTGCTACTGATGTCCACAGATATAAGTAGTGTGTATCATCAATAGAAAGTGAAATACTTGGTGACAGGTTAAGGAGATCGAAGAAAAGAGAACCATTAGTGAGAAAACGAAGGAACAATCAAGTCTGAAACAGCTGATTGACATTTTGCGAATGAAGTATTTTATACATAGTTCTCAGATTTTACTAAGAGATCATGTAATTTTGTGTTCAAGTACATTTGGTTGTCCCCATCTGTGTTCTCGTTCACTACAAGGGGATATCGATTAAATGATCGATTTCAAAGTAAAAATTGCATGAGAAAAATTATATCTGGAATTCACATTTACTATATTGGCCTTACTTTCAAGTCCTCTTATATAATAAAAGCTATATGTTGTAAGGTTACATGAGTGATTAAACTCGATGTAAACATGTAGTAAATGAATTTCATTACGTAATATGAGGGGATTATCAGCTTGAACAAATCATGGTCAAAAGACGGACAAACGCAGATTCAAGACAACGTGAATAACTCACTTTTCAAAACATTTTATCTGAAATAAAATCTTCCACAACACAATCAGTTATAGTTATTCACTTAATTTATGATTAAGACAGTGGGACAACATGATCCTTTAGAGTGATAAGTGACTGGTTGAGTATGATTACGTATAGAAAACTACTAGACAGAGTTCAACAGCATAAGTAGGTAAGCTATAGTGATAAATCAGGGTTTAATGAGAATCTTAGTAAATCACTTATCCCAGAAATTTATTCAGTAACATCACAGAGAAATCCTCCAATCGGTAACAATTTGTAAACAGTTTCGTGAGTTGTTGGGAAGGAACAACAGAGATGGATAGTCAACAAACTAAAGGATGGCACACGGTAATAAGTCGTTTGTGCATTATTCAGTCAAACAGTTCGTCTCCACGTGGACAAACATGTGACAGCAATAACATGCTTCCATAGATTATTTAAGTCGCGTTGAAGCTACCAAGCTAAGGTAAAACACTTAGAATTTACTAAATTATCATTTCGTTGAGTTCAAAAGAGAATACCTGATTTATTTGTACTACATCTTTGACCAGAAATATAAGTAGTTATGGGGTTCACTTACATATGTTCATGGAGATCTGTCCTCACAATACTATTATGTGACCATTAAACTTAGTCTAAAACCTTGTGAACGATCTGTTTCCTTTGGATATGTGTAAGACTCAGTTGTGTAAAATTGTGAGCAAAGTTGGGACACTACACGGCGTCATTAGTGAGGAATAGCTTCATCAATGTTGGTGAGCGCTAATAAATACGAGCTCAATGCAAATGTTTTTGATTGACTTAACATGACTTGTTACAGCTAAGAAATGATTATTTAAATTCCACATTATTTATGTTATTAAAGTAGTTTGAATCTTGGTGGGTAGATTATGGTGAACAGTTTAGTGTGGCGAGAGCTATTGCAAAACTGTGTCTACCAAAAATAAGAAAATATCGGTAAGCTGTTTCGTCCTGGCTTGAAACTCCTCAGCAGTGTCCATCGACCATAATATTTATCCGCCTTTTAGTTGAAATACATTAAACAAGTAACGTGTATGCACAATTGTGCAACTTGAAAACATATTTTGGAGCAAAGTGACCTCATCTCCCCTTTACAATAATTAAACTTAGGACGTCATTTCCTAGATAAGAAAGCAAAATTGTTGTAATTCTCTGTGCATAAGACTTCCTAAGGTGAAAAATATTTGTCTTGTGTACTGAGACTTTTTTAAAATGCAATTACAGTTGCCTGTATCAGTGGAATACTTACAATAATTTACTAGCATAGGGATAGACTTATTGCTCATAAAGCCGAATATCTGAAAAAATTGATGACGAAAACATACTCCCAACATTAATCACAGATATATTTTTGTTATATCCAAACGATTTATAACAAAAACATATTTATTATTAATTTTCTACCAATGCTCAATTTATTTGAAACTATCAATTCCAATTCCTGGATTCCACTGCTAGCCACTATCCATCTTTGCTTATAATGCTTGTAAATTAAGGCAATATCGAGGCATACGCGCAGTATGCACATATGCCAATAAGAGACTGATCAATTTCAGTCCAAAAACATCAATGGGAAGATTCAAGTAAAAATCTCCACAAAACACATACTGATAATAATATCAAACAAATTATCAATTCCTAGCACAAAAATTACAGACTATCTCAATAAAATCTGAATACCATAAAGTCAATCGTCAATTTGCAAAATATCAATGCATCATATCAAACTGGACTGTTTCCGTTGCAAACACGAATCCATTGTCTCCCATTCCATTGTGCTCTCGCTCTTCCTTTCTTCATCTTAACTTCATCTTCTGCTGCCAGGTATTACGTTTTAACTCGCGACATATACTACTTATATCAATGTAGGCAGCACACACCACATTATTAGTACAGATATATTCTTTGTGGACTGATATCGAAAAGCAGATTCTGTAAACACTTGCTTTCTATTCTCCTCGCTATGTTGATTTCCTTATCATTCCAGTCTTTTAGGTATGTACTCGTTTCCTGGATAACTTAAATGTTGTAAGCGAGAAGAATAAGACACTTTAAAGTTGTTGAAGTCAATATCCAGATCTAGAATATTTATATTAAAATAAGTAGGATATCTTTGATATGGGATTTATCCTCAATATATTTCTATAAGTTAACCTATGAAAATCATTTTTACACGTAGTTTTAATACTTCTTTATTTACTACATTTTAAATCATGCAGCAGAGTCCATTGTGAGGAATCATAACAATTACAGATTTTAGCTAAATAAACTCAATTAAATACAGCGTAATTTATTCTGTGATAAAAAGCACAAATTTTGTTCCGAAAAACGGTATAACAGAGCGAACAGACCATAGGATAAAATCATAAAACCCTTCAAAGGAAATGTAAAAATTCAAGAACACATACAGGAACTAACTAACCCAGCATACAGTTACGTCAAAAAAGAAGCATTCTGGAAGAATAGACAATTATACTGTGGCACTGATAAGAGAATAAATTATAATGAGTGCTTGGGAAGATTTATGTCGAGCGTTTTTCTGTTTCTCGAATTAGTAAGCCAATTTATACTTTTAAAAATCCACATGAAAACTTTCATTACCGAATCTTAACCTAGATTGACTGGCAATGCATCAAAAAATACAAACACTTGCAACACAAAACGACGCAGGTATATTCAAGTGGGCTTCTTAGTAGCCGATTATGTACAAATATTCTTGTGAGAACCCAGAGCGAATCCCAAGTGAGATATAACTAGTGAGCCACCTAAGCTCAGTCACTCGATATCTAGCTTGGTCGATAGGTTCTTCCACATTTGAATATCAAAGCCCGGAACGGCCTATGTTGACTTTAAGCGTTGCATGTGGAGAACATTAAGAGCCTTTGGATGAGGCCTCAAACATATTCAATTGGTCTTGACAATAGTTGTAGTGCCAATGATCCTCACTGTCCACACATTCACGGATGACTTGTAGGTGTATTTCACACATATACAAAATGAGATCGTTATAAATCTCAGAACTTATCAACAACAGGCGCGGATCACAGAGAAAAAGATAATCTAAAGTCAGTTTTTAAAATTACCTCATTTAAATACGTTAAATGTAATGCATTAGTACGAAGACGCCAAATTAAAAATCCTAAACCTTACGATTTAACCACATTGATACGGTCTACAAAACAAAAAAACGGAGGGATCCATTAAAATGTTTTTGAGCTGAGTAAAACCTTATGAACGCATGAGGGCAAGCTTTTTATACATATAATAAATATGCAATGTTTTACAGGGTTTAGTAGACACCATTAAAGTGATTAACAGTGTCAAAAGTTAGCAATACGACTTTGCAAATACAATTTATTTCGTCTTCTGTATTCGAGAAAGGCACTTGACAGGCATTAATATGCAGTATTGACTTTATCTACAATTAGTTTGCATAGAGGATCCAGCTCCCCATCACCTCCTGAAAATTTTCCTAAACTGAGAAAAACAAACTATTTTGCATACCAAACTGAAAATCAGTAACTTTGCAGTGATGAACAACCTCTTCATTAACTTTTATTTCGGTGATTTCATAAAAGTCACTCAAATCGTGGAGATAAGTAGTATGTCCCTCTTTTGACAATTGTTCTAGGTCACTTAAAGTTGTTCTAAAATTTTGAAAGTACCTTGAAGTCCCACCAATCGGTGTTTTCTATTTTTGCATATTCCTGCAACAGGGTATTTCCCGTGCCATATATGAACTTCTGCATTTCTTGGCATTTAGTGTGTAATTGTTTACAGGTTTACGTATTGTCTAGTGGTATGTGGTTGACGACGGGATGACGAGTGTGAGTAGGAATCTGGGAGAGAAAGACAAGAGAAAGTGTGAGTAGACTCCACAGTGAACTCGGTATGCATTTATGTACACGGAATAGTTACACTTGATAATAAAGTAATCAATAACAATTAGCAATGACGTATGCATGAAGTTGAAACTGGTATATCTAACTAAGAAAACAACAACAGAAAAATTCGAGGGCGTAAAATGTGTGTAGGTTGGAACCAAAGTACAGAGCCGGACAAATCAAGTTTCAGATTGTGCCTCTTGAATTCTTACATGATATCCATTCACTTTATATGCTTATTTAGGGTTCTCGGATTATGATTGATGTCAGTTTATGATGGAAAAATACTTACTTACTTACTTACGCCTGTTACTCCTCGTGAAGGAGCATAGGCCGCTCACCAGCGTTCTCCATCCAACCCTGTCCTGGGCAATCCTTTCTAGCTCCGTCCAGTTGTAATTCATCGTTTTCATATCTGCTTCTATTATCCGACGCAATGTGTTCTTTGGCCTTCCTCTTTTTCGCTTCCCCTCAGGATTCCAAGTTAGGGCTTGCCTCGTGATGCAGTTTGACGATTTGCGTAATGTATGTCCTATCCATTTCCATCGTCTTTTCCTAATTTCCTCTTCAGCTGGAAGTTGCTTTGTTCTCTCTCACAGAAGGCTGTTGCTGATGGTATCCGGCCAATGGATGTTGAGTATCTTGCGAAGGCAGCTATTTATAAATACTTGTACTTTCTTGATTGTGGTTGTTGTAGTTCTCCAAGTTTCAGCTCCATACAGTAGAACTGCCTTGACGTTCGTATTGAAGATTCTCACTTTGATATTGGTTGAAAGTTGTTTTGAGTTCCATATGTTCTTCAATTGTAGCAATGCGACCCTTGCTTTACCGATCCTCGCCTTTACGTCTGCATCTGAGCCTCCTTGTTCATCGATGATGCTTCCCAGATATGTGAAGGATTCTACATCTTCCAGAGTTTCGCCATCAAGAGTGATTGGATTGCTGTTCTCCGCTTTGAATTTGAGGACCTTAGTTTTCCCTTTGTGTATGCTGAGGCCTACTGATGCAGAGACTGCTGCTACACTGGCTGTCTTCATCTGCATCTGTTCGTGTGTACGTGATAGGAGGGCTAGGTCATCTGCGAAGTCCAAATCGTCTAATTGATTCTGAGCTGTCCATTGTATTCCATGTTTTCCTTCAGATGTTGAGGTCTTCATAATCCAGTCGACCACCAGGAGAAAAAGGAAGGGAGAGAGTAAACAGCCTTGTTTGACTCCGGTCCTTACTTGGAATGCATCTGTCAGCTGTCCTCCATGCACTACTTTGCACTGTAGTCCGTCGTATGAGTTCCGGATTATATTGACAATCTTCTCAGGAACTCCGTAGTGTCGAAGAAGTTTCCATAACGTCCTCCTGTCTACACTGTCGAATGCCTTTTCATAATCAATGAAGTTGATGTATAATGATGAGTTCCACTCAAGTGATTGTTCGACGATGATCCGTAGTGTTGCAATTTGGTCTGTGCACGACCGATCCTTACGGAATCCAGCTTGTTGATCTCGAAGTTGGGCGTCTACTGCATCCTTCATCCGGTTCAGCAACTCTCTGTTGAAGACTTTCCCTGGTATTGACAGTAGTGTTATGCCTCTGTAGTTTTCACATTTGCTCAGATCTCCTTTCTTTGGAATCTTGACGAGGCGTCCTTCTTTCCAGTCCATCGGCACTTGTTCCTTCTCCCAAATCTTTTTGAATAGAAGATAAAGCATGCTTGTGGTTGTTTCGATGTCTGATTTCAGTGCTTCAGCTGGTATGTTGTCGGGTCCTGCTGCTTTCCCGTTCTTGATTTGTCTGACGGCCATTCTAATTTCTTCCGTAGTTGGTGGATTGACATCTATAGGAAGATCTATGTGTGCTGCTTCGATGTCCGGTGGATTCATTGGAGCCGGCCTATTCAGGAGTTCCTCGAAGTATTCTACCCATCTGTTACGTTGTTGTTGAATTTCGGTGATTGGCTTGCCTTCTTTGTCTTTGACCGGCCTCTCTGGTTTACTGTATTTCCCTGATAGTTTCTTCGTTGTATCGTAAAGCTGTTTCATGTTTCCTTCTCTAGCAGCTTTTTCTGCCGTCGTTGCTAGTTCTTCAACGTATTTCTTCTTGTCGGCTCTAATGCTCCTCTTCACTTGTTTGTTTGCTTCTATGTATTCAGCTTGTGCTTGGACTTTCTCTGCTCGTGTTCGGCTGTTGTTTATTGCTGCCTTCTTGTTCTTCCTTTCTTTGATCTTGTCCACTGTTTCTGTAGAGATCCATTCCTTATGATGGTATTTCTTTAGACCGAGAACCTCTTGACACGTTGAAGTTAATGCTTCCTTGATGCCTTTCCAGTTGTCCTCCATAGTAGTTTCTTCTTCTTTCAGTAGATCTCGTAAGGCTTGGAACCTGTTGTTGAGAGCTATCTTGAATTCATTGAGTTTGACAGTATCTCGAAGGAAGGCTGTATTGAACCTTTGTATTGCTGTTTGTCCACTTGTCCAGTTCTTTTTTAGCTTCAGTTTCAAATTGGCTACAACTAGGTGGTGATCTGAAGCTACGTCAGCACCTCTCCTGGTTCTCACATCTTCCATTGTCCTTCGGAATTTTTTGTTGATGCAAATATGATCTATTTGGTTCTCTGTAGTGTGGTCCGGTGAGATCCATGTAGCCTTGTGTATACGCTTGTGTGGAAATATTGTGCCTCCTATGACCAATTTGTTGAATGCGTATAGATTTGCAAATCTTTCTCCATTTTCGTTTCTTTCTCCCAGTCCATGTCGTCCCATAATATCTTCATATCCAGTGTTGTCTATTCCGACTTTGGCATTTAGATCTCCCATTAGAATGGTGAGGTCCTTTCTTGGGCATTTCTCTATCACTGACTGCAGCCGCTCGTAGAATTGATCTTTAATGTCGTCGTTGCTATCATTGGTGGGTGCATAACATTGGATAATATTCATTAAGATCCCCTCCTTCTTTGTTTTGAATGATGCTTTGATGATTCTGGATCCGTGAGATTCCCATCGTACAAGTGCATTTCGTGCTACTTTGGACAGCATAAGAGCGACTCCCTGAGTGTGTGGAGCATTGTCCTCTTCGTGACCGGAGTATAGCAGCATCTCTCCCGTAGCTAGCCTTTTCTGTCCAGCTTGGGTCCAGTGGGTTTCGCTGATTCCCAGTACTGCTAAGTTGTATCTCCTCATTTCCATTGATATTTGACTGGTCTTCCCGGTTTCCCACATTGTTCGAACGTTCCATGTACCTATAAAAATTTTTGCTCTGGTTGTTAGAAGGGGCATCGGCCTCGTGGCTTCCGAAGGAACTCGGCTTTCACCATGAAGCGTCATAATTCTTCTAAATGAAGACCTTCTAACTCCCAGTGCAGAGTTAAAATGGTTTGGATTATTTTTTCTGGTAAGCGTTTTTTTAGCGAGTTAGTTTTCTACGGGATGGGGACGCTAACCCCATGCCCAACCCTCCTCCTTTACCCGGGCTTGGGACCGGCAGCAACCCTATAAGAGCTACAGGCGGAGTTATGATGGAAAAATAACTGTAGTTTATTATCCTGACTCGTTACCTTAACTCTTAATCTCAGTTCTTAACCTTATTTTGAGCGGGGTAAGGTGTAATTATTTCGCAATTATTCCGAGAACCGCTCAAGATCATCCTCGTACTTGATTTCTATCATAAATATTGGAAAAAAATATGTAGTGTGTAACTCCCTTAGATACCTGGAAGTGGCATTGGAGTAAATTCTCCAGTAATATTACACGTTCTAGTTTGATGAATGTTCAACTACAGTTGACATAGACGTGGCTGAAATCTAGGATAGAATCAGTCACGTTTAATATCCAAAGTTCAGGTTAATAAACACTACAGTGTTAACAATCGCGGACTAGCGTGTTCTACCTATAAATGTTTATAAATAAGTTCTATATAAGCAGAAACGTTGCTGTCAACCACTGTTGAGACTAGTTTTGTGGTTGATTAGATCATATCTTGAAATGGAGTCCGTCCTAGATTCGCAAACCTGCATGCTGTTCTGCAGAACATGTCATCAGTAATATCAGACATCAGTACCAACGTTATGCAGCTCATGTCTCAGTCTCAGTCCGATAGGCAAGATAATCCACGGAAACGTGATATGGAACTATGAACTTTGAATTTCCCCTTGTCATCTGGAGAGGAAATGCAGGCGCTAGATGCATGTCTTTGGTTAAACACATGAGGGACAAACTTATTAGTCTACAAAAACCGTTGGGTTGTCACTTTACATTGTAAATGGCCACACTGATGCGGTTAATGGTTGATAATCCCGAAACATCCGTGGGCTATATCTTGTCATACATCATGAAACCTGAAGCGGCCAGCTCCTTCACGCTTCATCAAAACGAGCACGCCAGAAGTGCAGGTTTTGTGGCAGAACATGAAGTGTTTATTAATCTTTAGGCACACAAACACTACGGTATTTATGTGGTGTTTGTATGAACTAACGATTCCTTTGTACTTGATGACTGCTTGATACAATACGTTCAGTCGTGCTTATCTAATACTTCTTGGTAAAATTGTGTTATTGATGAGATTCTTTGTTTGTAATACAATTCAAATACTACTAATCATCATACTTCATCATCAACTGTCATTGAAAAATACCTCGTGAAATTGTATGACATGGCGACGCAAGGACATTTCCACGACATGAGATAAACAATGAAGGCGTTATAGAGAGAGGATAGATAATGCAAGTAAGAACTTGAGATGATGACTTTTCATTGTTGCTTTATAGGTGCAGTGTTCGGTGTTGACGAACATTATCGTGTCTCACTTTATTTTGTCAGTTGGTAATAAAAAACAAATATACCAGTCTAGCATTGTTGTAAATATTAATTTTTATTATACCTCAGG